ATTGATCTGCTAGAACTGCTCCCTCGGGTTTCACATGTTCCCTCTGCGTGCGTCAACGACGCAGAAGTATAAATTAAAACCAACGCGTAGTCTATCGGCTCCGGCGTAGGTCCGACACAGAAGTATAAATCAGCCTTAACTGTTGCTCTGGTCTTCGTCAACAACACGCGCTTTTGCGCCCCCTGCTGGTGAGCTCGACTAACAGCAGATGGAGATTATGCTCGGTAATCTACTGCTTTTCCTGCAGTTCTCGGATGTCAATGTTGAATTTACTGTCGAATTTGAACCACTGACTTTGTGGAAGCGAATTTGGAAAGCGAAATAAAATGGACCGAAAATTGCCTGTTGAATATTATAGGTTGTATTTTTAAACAGTTTGAATATTTTGGAAGTGAAATATGAAAGGTGAATATTACGGAAGCGTATTGCATTCACTTGAGGAAAAAAATCTACTCTGTTTTTTTGAATTAACGAGTTAATTATCTCAAAATTACGAGAGAATTTTTCATGGGAAAAAGTTTTTGCTCTGTTTTTCTGAATTAATGACTTAATTATCTCAAAATTATGAGTAACTCATTAATTCATAAAAACAGCGAAAAAAATGTTTTTCAAGAAAAATGTATCTCGTAATTCTGAGATAATTAACTCGTTAATTCAGAAAAACAGAGTCGATTTTTTTTCCTCAAGTGAATGCAAAACGCTTCCGTAGAATATTGATTATTTAATTTTTAATAATGAAAACATGTGTTTGAAACGTTTTGAATTGAAATATTCACAGTTTAAATATTCAACCATGCTGAATTTCAGCCCACAAAAATGCAAGCCCTAAAAATACAATGCATTAAAATGCAAGCATGGTTAATGCAATGCCTATTTTTTTCAAGTAGTGCAATTCAGCAGGCTTTTTGGCATTATTTTACTTCCATATACTATCTATTTCATATGCAAAAATGTCAGCCAATCACAGCAGTGGGCGTTCGTTTACAATGAAGTCTCTCTGCAGACCCGCCCCTTCAAACAGCGTTCAAATCAGAGGCTAAAATCAAGGGGTGGGAAAAATGCCTTTCTAAATTATGAAATGTTTGATGTAAAATTCATAGCCTACTAAGGGCACCCCAGGAAACATTATAAAATAATCCAGTTCATGAACCCTTTAAACTTTTATAGCGGTAAATGAGAGACTACTTTAAATACTTATGTGTTCCAATTTGATAATATAGCAAAAGAAAAACTCCACAATAGTGTTTTAAACAACTTTCAAAAAGAGGGAACAAAATAAAGAGAGATTGATAAAGGCAGTCAGAAGAGAGAAAGATGTCGATTTTTCCCATCACTCCCAGCTGTATTAGAAACACCCTCACAGCTGCAGTGTTAACTAATCTTTTTTGTAATTTGATGCAATAATATAATACTAAGTATAGTGTTATAAATGAGCATAATTTTTTTTTTTATTAAAATTTTGACCTCATGGCTTGGTTTTTGCTCTTATATGTGTGAGATGTGTGCCTATCCAAATCATACCCATTCAAGTAAATGTGCCACTTGAAGTGTAGCATCTACAAGCGAAGTTGGAATGCTCTACGAATACTTTTGCAAGACACTGTATATACAAAGTTCTGTCATGAAACTCAAGATGGAGCAGGCTGAAAGGTCCTTAACTTAATCTGCTTGCAATAACGCCATTCTCTATAGGGCACAGCTGATTGGTTCCTACTGTAAAAATCAATGAGCTCGCTGCTAAACCTTCAAATACTTGTTTAACCTTTGCTATAATAGCAGTGCAGCACTCTTTCAGAAACCCTCCACCTTCCCCAGCTCCACCTGTATAGATCTGCTACTGCCTACGGGTAATTCATGTATGCTATATTGCATAGCAGCAGCATGCATGTCTTGCTCATAAAGCAGCATGCCATGTGTGTACTGGCAGTAGCAAGTCCCGTACTTGCTCAAAGCAGCAGCTTAGCAGATTCGTTCCACCAAGACCAAACATATCAACATTGTCATATCCAATATCATGCCAAACAATCAGAGAGTTGATCATGACAGAACTACTTTTATGTTCCATGTCGTAAGGGGGAGTAAATTATGACAGATTTTCTTTTTTTCCCATTTAAACTATCCTTTCAAGAAAGATTTAGTGATGACATCTTAATGTCTTTACAGCATTTGTACCAGCCAATGCCAGATTTTTCTTGGCACAACACATCCTTGCAGAACTTGAGGATGGAGTTCACAATGTAGTGCTGCAACATCATTCTACCACTTCTCACGTCCATATAGGCAAGATGCCACCAGGTTGCTGACTGCATGGAGGGACTCAGTCAAGGGTATGTTTTGAGAAAAGATGATGACTGCATCTGAGATTGCATACTTCCCTACAAAATATCAGGCCAAAAACAGTAAGTGAAAAGCATGTCTGAATTCACAGTATTCATAAAACAGTAGGTGAAAAGTACCTGGATGACCCACTACTTCCGGCTAGATTCTGAAGTGCGGATCTAATGGACATTTTACTATCCCATGGGGGGAGAACTTTCCACGGGAGAGAAGTTGTGAATGGCAGTAAAGCAATGCCACTGATGCTGTAAGTCACATTACAATGACAACATGGTGAATGTAGTATGTCCAGATTACATACTTTATAAAATGAATACAAATATACATAATTTAATACAAATAATACAATTTTACTCTATACCTACTCAGAGAGTGTGTGATTTCAGATGTAGCTGATAAGTTTCAAGCAGAGCAGTATCTGGAGTGAGCACTGAGCTGGATAATATAGGTAAAGAGAAAAGGAGTCACAAGACAAAACTCTCAAGCAGTTTCTACTGCATCATACATTTCCCCTCCGGACCAGACAGATTCTCCCCTGCACTGGAGTTCATTTCTGGCCAATTCTCCCAGTCTTTTTGACACAGATCCGCTACACATAGTTATAGTTACGGATCTTTCTCTATTGTGTTGTTTGTTTGTTTTTTGTTTCATTTGTTGATGGAATGTGACAGCTGACAGCATGATGTTTCTCAATGTAATTGCTTAAATAAATAATTTGTTTAGAATAACCAAGAATGACTTCCATATTAGAGGGAAGATTCACCAGTAAATTCAAATGCATCTTTCTCTTCACACCTACATTTTATATATATATATATCTGCATATACAGTACACAGATTACATTACTAGGAGCCATGCCCTAGTACAGAAAGTATCCGAGTTTCAGATGACAATTGCCCTGATCCAGGAAAACCTGACACTGCTGGTGCAGCCTATCATCAATACCAGAGGGGGTGGGGTTGAGAAATGCAGAGTCATGGGAAACTCAATTCTGCTAATCTATCATAGATGTGAAGAGAGAGTGAGACATTAACACATATTCAAAGTCACAGTCACTTTGCAGGCTAACACACACTCACACATGCATGTGCAGCCTACTCATATTCATTCATTTTTCTTTCACATTTTGTGTAAGTGACGCATGTCACTCTAGTTAATAGGGGTCAAACAAACTCTCACTGCTTTGTGAGTATTAAGTGATGTGTATTCAAGCAGTTGGGGGTCCCGGAGGACCCCTCATGTTTCTTTCTGGAGCCATCCTCCCTGTTGCCTCTCTAAAACCTGCAATGCAGAAGAGACTTCGGACCCCGAATATCACCGCCTAACAACCTGAACTCACATTTACAGCTCGGAGAGAGAGAGAGAGAGAAAGGAGGGGGGAAAGGAAGGGAGGGACAGGCAGTCAGCCAAGGAGGGGAAAAGTTGAGTGTGAGCCAAATTTTAGCAGATTTTTCATAGAGGGGGAGAGGGGGGGGGGGGGGGGGGGGGGGGGGGGGTACTTCTGTTGAACAGACTAGCTGCAGTTGTCCTCAGACGTCCAGTGCTTCAATGCTCTTCAGTTCTGGTTTACCGGCTGGACTGCATGTGTGTCTCTCACAAGGTGCAACGGTGAGAGTGTGTGTATATGTGGGTGTCAGAGGGTGTTTGTGTGCGTGTCTGAGCAGTATTGGGACCAAAGCACTGCGGATTTGTGTGCAGCATATTCTGTGGACTGATGCCCTCTGCTTCTCCGAACAGGACACACAGATTTACCTGCTCAACAGAGGTAAGGCGCAGATACACACACACACACAGACACACAGACACACACACACAGACACACACACACACACACACACACACACACAGACACACACACACAGACACACACACACACACACAGACACATAAACACACACACACACACACACACAGACACACACACACACACACACACACACACACACTGACTCACAGTTGGTTTTTCATAGCTGGAAATGTGTATATATTAGCTAAGGACTTCATACACAAGTACAAAAGTTCAGTGTGTTCACACATATGCATGTGTGTGTGTGTGTATGACTGTGTAGAATTTTATTTTATTAATATTAACAAATCTACATGTCTATTGTTATTATTATTATAGAGTCAGTTTGGATCAAAGTGGACCAAATTTATAAACATACATAAATAAATGTATTAAAACTATATTATTAAAAGAATAAATTCATACATTTTATTATTTTCTTTATATATTAATTGAACAATAAATAATATTATTTTTTAATTAAAGTTATTTATTATTTTGTTACTTTTTGTGTTTTGCTAATATATTTGAATAAATATATTTAATTATGTATATTTATTAATTTCCCATGTATGCTGTAGACACTTTTATCCAAACGAACTTACAGTAAACTGCTTCAAAACTTCTTGACTTAACTGGATTTGGTCAGCTGATCTTGGTTATAACAGATATAGGGTTATAATTTATGTAGGACAAATATTTTATACAGGAATTTGTGGAGCGTTGGTATGTATGTAGCCTATTAAGTCTTGCTGCCCTCTTCTTCAAAACGTCCCTTTTTCACAGGTCAGAGGGCAACCGAACAACCAAAAAACTGAGCCAGATGGAGTTCTAGAAACTTCATCTTTCCAGCTGGGTAGAATCTTGAGCTTCCATAGCTCTGAGATCTGGACAGGCCTTTGACAGGGGGAATCTTACGTTTGTGCGCACAGATTGATCAAGTGCGCAACTGCTGAGAAGCGGACTGGTGTCTTTGCCACCCAGGCAGCATCTTGAGGAACAAAGACTTCTGGGAAACTGGACGTGAACTGCTGAGGAAGGCTGGTGGACGTGACAAAAAGAAGGGAGAAGAAAGTGAAGAGCAGGATGGAAACACAGAGCAGAGGGCATCTGAGAGGGGGAGGTTGCGCACCCTCTGAAAGAACTGCTTCCTGTCTTCTGCTCATACTTATCACTGGTAAGACTGTTTAGTTATGATTTTTGATTTAGGAAAATAAACTTTAAAAATACAACAGTCTACATGGGATAATCGTGGACATATATACAGTACTGAGGATAGAACAACACTCTCACTGACAAGAACAGGAATTCATACTGAAAACTGAGCTTGCAAACACTATGCAGCTCTAGTGTCTTAAACACAGACAGACACAGATCCAGCCCCAAATGTTGCATTGCAGGGAAGCTGTTGAATAAAGTGTTAGTACGGTGTGAAAAGTCAGCATTAGATTAGTGGGTCAAACCACGCACAGGAAATTGTGGTCAGACTCAGAGTTATTATTTGCCCACCCTCATGTCATTCCAAATCTGATTCAATACTTTAATTCTCATCATGTTAGGATGTTAACACCACTTTATTTCACTAAGCAAATGAGTATGTACTTCAACATAAAATTTTGGCCTTCGTAAGGCTTGCGTATCACAAATTAAGCTGCAATAATATGAATTTGAATAATATGACATGGCTCTGGTTGCAAGTTCAAAATTGGTTTGTCAGTGAACGAGTGACCATCCGATTATCCATCCGAGAGCTGTGTACGGGACGTCCTGTGCTGCTCTAGACTAGAGAACATACTTTGGAAAAACACAGACTAATGCATGATAAGACTTACAGTAACTTCAGGGATTTTGTTCTTGGCTGGTAAAGGGGAGTATCACAGATCTTAACTGCTGCTGAGTTAATCACAGAATATAAAGGAGCTGCGATGAAAGGAAAGGGACTGAAGACCCACTTAAATAGGGTTTAGAATCACCTATGTCTGGAAATCATGGCGGTTTGAGGCAAAAGTCTCTTTTAAATATTTTTCATCATATGGTTTCAAAGTATCTGGTGTAGAAAATTAGCTCTAAAGAAATATTAATAATCAGTGATAACTTTGAATATTTGGATCAGTTTATAGAATTAGCTTAATGTTGTAAAATTAATATTACAATCAATTAACCTGTTTGTGCCGTGAACACTCAGAGTTAATTGTTGATTAATTCTAAGAAATGTACATTTCCGGGGTATGGAAATGTCTTTCTTACTTTACAGTACTAAGAGCAAGTAGTCAAAATCTGCATGATTAGAGACTCCAGTATATATGAGCTTGAAACACGGACAACTTTACTTGTGACATGAACAAGATTTTATTAACTAGACTAAACACTTAAACTACTCTAACATACACATACATGCATACAGTTTAAGGGAAAGAGAGCTGAAGCAGAATACAGGAAAGCAAGAAGTTATAGCATTGTTTGAAATTCAGCAGATCAACAGCCTTGAGCAAACCGTTTAATTTGAATTAAACTGTCCTGATGCAATTTGTTGAGGCTCCAGTTGATCTTTGCTGATGTTGTCTTGATGAGAGAGAACCAGTGTGAGTCAGAGGATCTTTGGTGAATGGAAAGACAAGGCCGTAGCCTGGCGCAAGCTTGGGGGTCCTTGGGGGACTTCTAGTTCAGCATCATCTTCACAACAGGATTTCAGTAAGAGACTAAGAGGCGTGATCTTGTGATCAGTGATTTTTAAACCGTGAAGAAGTCACACCCTCTGGAGGGTTGTGAGCCAATAAGAAGTTGTTCCCTTTGGAGGGAATTTCTTTACGACCTTTTGTTCAAGCAGGCCTTTGAGCATGTCATTTGATTGGGTGTTTAACAAAAGAATCTTCAACATTCTTATAATACTAATGCGTCACAAAGTTAGTAAAATGTAATGTAAATTAACAAATGGGGGACGAAGATTGGAGTTTATAGAGACTAAACATGCTACACATGATTTTGGTTAACCATAGTATGCAAGTCTGAAACATTAATCCAAAAGAGTTGAATGAATGCATAGGCCAAACTAACCTGGCCCTAGCCAGATGAATTTCGCTCCGCCTAGCTTTACTCATCCATCTGGAACCGATCCATTGAAATGGCGTTTCAGAAGGCTGGGCCTTATCAAAAATCCTTGCATATGATTGGATAAGCCACTTGTCTGTCATCTTTATCGACGTGCTATTTCAACCACTCACACCGAAGCCAACCCGTGACGCTGATGTTCTTTTAATGAAACAATATTAGGTAGATTGGACAACACGGATGAAATAGCAGCATCAATGTTAACGCTTGCTTCCTCGATGCTAGCCGCCATTGTTGTCTGAATCAAAACAGTCTCACGGTCGCTTCTCCACTACGTCACATCTATGAAACTCCCGCCCTGCGTCCTGATTGGCTAAACCATAAAGTTGGTTGGAGAAATCACTCTCAATGGAAGAGGTTCCAGATGGATGTGAGTGAAGCTAGGCGGAGCGAAATTCATCTGGCTAGGGCCAGGTTAAGGCCAAACCACATTAAAGGAAAATCATGAGATGGGAAAATTAGATACATGTTTATACATTTCTCAAGTGGTTATATATAGAATATATAGGATTAAAAGGGTTTATTTCTCCTTCTCAGCGAGAATTAAGTGAGAGTCACAACTCTCTGCAAATTCCTTTTGGGGTCGTAAAAAGTCTTATCAGTCTTAATGTGTCCTGTAACAGGACACTGGGTTCTGCCAGTGTGTTAGCTTCTTTGGGATGTTAGTTTTGGGGGAAGTTTCATAGACCTTTGTTGGGAGAGTGAGTTTGCTGGATTATTAATTAAATATAATGAATAATTTGTGTGTCTGATTGGTCCAGATGCTACACTGGGCTATGTTATCCACATTCTTTTAGTAGCTCTATATTTTACTGTGAATTAAAATATTCTTATTTATGTCTCCTAAGGTATTGCGGAAGATACATTACTGAATATCATCACTCAATCATTAAGTCTCATGAGACTCTTTGCTCATCAACTTTTGTGCAATAAAATGTTTCTCTGGGGTAAAGCAGCAGCTACGTTTCTGTAACGGAAGCACAATGTCTCTTACAGAGGACATGATGACAAGCATGTTGACAAAATCAACATTGAGCACACAGTGTTTCCAAGATCCAAGATGTGTCCTGGTTTAAAATATCTCTCATGAAAGGGTACAGTTGATTGGTAGGTCCTCTTCACTGGTCGTGTAACCTCTCCTGAAGAGTTACACGAGCACTCTTACGTCGGCTCGTGTTCGCTTTTTCACATTGCGTGCCAAGCAAACTTCTGGACACTTGTCGTCAGAGAAGTCCGGGTGTTTTTGTAAGGTAACCACAACCTGAAACATAACATACAGCATGTTAAAATACATTTATAGTTACAGTTATATACATTACATGTATATGTTAGATTTCCAGTATCCAGACACAAAGTTTCACTGTTAGCTTGCAAAATTGCATTCACAAACTGATCCTCACAATGAAACAAGCAAGCATGCAATAATTCACTAATTTAATTGTGCCTCTTATCCGTTTCTTGAGGAATTAAGTGAACCATACTAATTAAGCATTTGTCCGTATAACAGTCCTATTTCACTTTACTTATTTTTTTCAAGTCAATCGGTTTGCATGCTTTTTTTAAAGTATAAGTTTAACTAATTCGATTTTACAGTGCCATTCAGAACACAGCTGATTATGGACTTTGAATATGTCAGCATATGGTTTAGCAAGGTTCATAACAGCTGTCACATTTCAGATCTGGTTCTACAGAGAAGAGACACTGTTTCATGTGCATAGCAGTTTTTAGTCTTAACTTTTTCTTTTCTTGGTGTTTACTATAAATCTTTAATTAGAGTTCTAGTAACTAAAAAAGAACTGTAGAGAGTACTTGATAATTTACTTTAGATTTACTCTTGACTTGTAGCTACTCAGAATTACTGACTCCCAGAGTGCATTGCGGCATGAATAAATTATGCAATTGCTTTGTTTTACTATTTTTGTTTGTTTGTTTTATTTGCTGTATTGTGTCAGTAGCACAACAAAAAAACAGCAAATAAAATTGTTATTGTTACAATTAATAAAAATAAATAAAAATTAATTGTTACCATTGTTGTGTTTTGCATGCTGATTGTTGAAGTCTGTGTGACTTAAACATGGTCAATTGTCATGGTCAAGATATTGTCACAAATATAGAGGGACTATATCAACCCAATTAAAAGTTTAACAAGGTGTTTATGACATACGTGATAACAATGAAATGTTAAAAGATAATTTTATAACCTTTTAAAAGCAACCTATTTATTACTTCCCTTCCTTTAAGTGCTGTTGGGGATGTTTTCAGGGTATTTTTGAGTCTTAATTTGGCATAACTTTCTCTGTGTTTCAGCAAATGGAATGATTGTTGGTGACAAATCTTATTTTGACACATATTTTGGGAAAATGCTTTGAAAATTTTCAAAAACTCAACAGTACACTGTGGGCAAATTCACTACCCTTTCGTAATGTTCGTGGCTGAAAACATCCACTACTTTAAACTGCTGTAAAAATGTATCAGATAAATATTGTTTTGAAATTTTTTCACATAAATCTATTAATCAACCTCAGTCCTGATCAAAACTACTAAATGTTTAAAAAAAATCAGGATTTTAACTCTTTAATTGCCAAATTCATAAATGATGTCACTGATTTGGGGGAAAAAACACACAAAATGACTCATTTTCAATATAAAATGTGATTGTGGACTGGATTTTTTTTTTTTTTTACCTTTTATCACAGTCTTGGACATGTCAAAGATTAGAAACAACATTGGTTCTGATGCATTTTTAGTTTTTGTGCAGCATCAGATTTTAACTTTTTCTCCCTCATTTACTGTTCATGGCTGTTTTTGCCCACATTTTTTGATTGCAAAGCCATGACACCATATAATCATGCATTTTTGATTGTTGGTGGTTTTCCCTGTTGGGAAGAGGTAAAATTTGTCATTTTTACTGTTGATAACCAGGTGGCAACATTAACCCTTTAGATAGGCCTGTGCAAAAAAAAAGCTTAGTTTCTGGCTTTTACATGGAGTTATATGGAGTATAATAGCATATTAAAGTGTGTGTGTGTGTGTGTGTGTGTGTGTGTGTGTGAGAGAGAGTGTGTGTGA